CTACGATATCGCCAGAATCGGAATATTATCTCGCCGCATGCATCGGCGTTCCCCTTTCGCGAATGCCGCAAGTGGGATTGAAATCGAAAGTTGCGCCCAAATGGAAAGAAAACGATCAGCCTTGCAAGAGAAACGTTTCGCGTTGAAAATTCCGCTCGGGGCAAGTCGACGACTCGGGTGAATTTAGATGTTGGGATTAACAGGGTCCTGCAGTTGACAATGTGCCACTTTGCCAGTCCCGTAAATGACTAGCGGCACCGAAACAGAGGGCTTTTTGTGACTTGCGTTTTCACCCTGGGAAGTTTTTCACGCCGGTTTGCGAAGCGTACCCTCGGCGCCACATTCCAAGTTACGAGTGAAACGTGCCGAGAACCGAACCGATTCACGGAATTCCACGTGGTATTCTGAGGGTAATTTGAGGGTAAGTAAGGGTGGGGTGCGGGTGCATTTCGATGCACTGGCCGCTTCAAGATCTGCGATTGGTCTTCGGGGAAATGTCTTCTATCCTCAATAGGGAAATCGTTCCGATTCGATTGCTGTGCTTGAATTGCGGAGAATGCAGGCGCTCGAGGCAATTCTTGGGTCCAGATGCCTGTACGTTCGGATGGGAAGAGTTTCGTGTAAGTGGTTTCAGTTAGTCATGCGAGAAGAAAATAAATTTTCTCGAAGGAAAAATCTTGAAGGCTCGGTGCAACCGATTGCGAAAGGGAGAGTCCTTTATCTCGGGGTTCATCGCGACGGGACGGTGGCGTTTCCGAGGAACGACCTCGAAGAAAGGCTGCGGAACGTGTCGATTAATCCGACTCCATTTTCTGTATTGCAGGTGTGAAGGAAGATGGGGTGGCTCTCGTTGAGTTTCCTCGGAGTGTGCCTGCTGGAGGGGGCACTGGGGTATTCCATGGGTGCACCGGATGCGGCGTGCAACAGCCTCACGCCGGGGCACGGGCCGGATCCGTTGAGCGTCTCCACTGCGCCCTACCGCGTCTCTGTTTCTGCCGATCGGGTAAGGCTGGTGTGGTGTGATGGTGGTGGGGTAGGAATGTTCCTTGTCGGATTTAAGTTCACCTTTTTGGGGGGGTTCGATGTCCGTTGTCCGTCTTTTTCCGCGGGAATGGTGTGTAGGATGGTTTTAAAAGAAAGACTGGAAAATGGACGGTCGCGAGCCCTTACGTGCAAGTAAATTTAAAGAAATGCGTGTTCACGGTGAGTTTTCGTTTCGGCATCGACGGTGGCGAGAGGGCATCGGCGCGGCCAGCCGACGGGAACGCGACGGTCGGATCCCGAAGGCACGAGGGTCGGTGATGGATGCTGTCGTGGAAGATGAGATGACGGGATCGAACGGTCGGGTGTCTGTCTCGGGAGAGGCGAAGATTGGGCCGAGACTGCGGGTTGCGGCCTAACGGGTCGCCGGCTTTTACAGGGTCTCCCAGCGTCGCGTAACGGGACGCCGCACCGAAGGCGAGGCGATACGGCATGCATTCGAAATTTCTCGTCGATGACCTTTACGACAGGCGCGGTGTTGCCGGCTGCGACCGACCGACTGCTCCATTTTTTCGCCGAGGATTCTCGAAAGTACCGGAGGGAAAATTGTGTCGCTCGGAATCGAAAAGTGGCTCGGTTTCTTTCATGGCGGCTTCCAGGTCGCTGGAGTTTCCAGGTCATTTATCGTTCGTGTGATCGGATTGGATCCATCTGGCATGGAAGGAGGCGTGTGGTTTGTGCGTGCATCTGCATGGAAGTGTTCCGGAAAGGAAACGGGGGAGGCGCGTAACGGGGGAAGACAAGGGAAATGGGGGGAGTGAAATGAGGGGGGGAGAGGGAGGGGGGGGGAGTGAAATGCATTGTGTGGGAAACTTGAAGCGTGGAGATTCTTCCCTCGATCACAATGAGGAGAATCAGATATCTTGGAGTCCCGGAACATTTTCTCGGTTCCCGTGTTTTCCGGTTCAGGGTGGAGAATGAGTCTTTAAAGGTTATGTAAGGTTATTTCATTCGACCTGGTAGCATTTTTTTAAATGTAAGATTTAAGTTTAATTTATTTAAAAATTATCAGTAAATATAATTGAAAATTGAAATGATTGAAAATGATTCAAATTTCAAAAGTCTTAAAATTCCCTCTGAATCGCTCTTGATGCCTACAGATACACAATTGATAAATTGTAACCCAGTAGATTGCGTTGCGTCGTGAAGCTGACGGGTGGTGTGGTGAGATGTTCAGAGGCAATGCCAGAAAAAAAGAAAATTTGCGGCTCCAAATGGCACCATTACGAATGAAAGGGCTGAAGACAACACATGTTGTACAATGAATTGTTGTGGGAAAGAAACGATCGGAATGGCGTTCTTGATGGCCGCGTGCGAGGACCGATGGGGTAGGTCGTGGATTTTTGCATGCTGGGGTCCCCGTGCCTACGTGGGCACGCCTCCACCCACGCCGAAGCACGGACAAATTGAGCAATGTTCGTCGGGGCTCATGCTTGGGCCGTGACGTAAGAGAGGCAAGGGCGTGAACTCCGATCACGGATCACGTTTCTTCCGAGGGTTTATCCTTCGGATGCCGTGACACATGGCTTCTCTTCCGCCTCGCCCTTTTTTTTGGAGTGGTTTTCATTTTTTTTTGTGCCATTTCTTAGATGTTTATGCTTGAATGGCTTCTCGTACCACGCCTGTTCGCGGTTCCCTTTTTTGGCTGGCTTTTTTCGCGGTTCGAGTGCCGCACGCTCGTTTGCTCGCGGTGAGGCGTTCGTGAACGATGCGTGATTTTCTTCGTGAGCGGCTCCGATGGGGGAGGGAAAGCCGGGGACTGCCGGTTGCTTGCTTCATTCTTGAAGTCGTGATTCTTTTTCTGCATTCAATGGATCAAGGAGGAGACAAATCCACCATTGGCTTTCGTAACATCGATTGGCGAACGCCGCCTTTCGTGGATATCCATAGATGATGTCCACTTTAAATCTGTGTTTTTTTGTTTGTTTGTTTGTTTGTTTGTTTGTTTTTTTTTTTTGGGGGGGGGGGGGGGGTCTGGTGGG